TGTTTTAAATCTTATACTTCCTTACTCAAATCTGCTTTTAGGCCAGTGTTCCTGCATCTATCTATGGACACGCATGATGGCCGGCGCAGTTCCCCCGTCCTGAATGAAATCCCCAAACCGGACGAAACCCCAGATCCAGTCAAGCTGCCAAGAAGTATCAGTGACGTTGAGGTCAAGTATTCCCTCAGTTGCGCGCTAATTTGGTGACTGGCACGGTCGGCTCGTGGGTGTTTCTTTACTGCACCGACTACGTTGTAATGGCTGACGCGGGAGGTTGACCAGTGGGACCGCCGGGGACGACGCTCAAAAGAGGAGGGAGGCCATGTAATACGATGGTGGTTTATCCCCAGTATTGGTGAGGCGCCACTTTTGTACTTCGAATTAGCCCCCTTGTACCTCGCTGGCTGGGGCTGGCCTTTTGGGCCATGCCAATAGCCCAGACACCTTCTCCGTGCTGTATATATATATTCTGCCCGAGTACTGTGTCTCCTTTCGTCTTAAGGGAGTCTCGGGGCGCTACACCAGGACGAGGGACCACACTAGACTCAGTAGAAGAACTAAGGGCATGACCATCGTGCACTTGTTATCCATTTTTTGCACTGTGCACAAGTTTATTAAAAAGGCAGCTCTATCAAAGCTAGGAAACGAGCCCATTTTGGCTTTAAGGATATTTTAAACAGAACTCCATTAAATACCATCAGTCGCACATCTTCAAAAGTGTTTTCTTAGACATAGATAGTCTAACAGTATTCCCTCAGACTAAAAAAAGGTCTTTTTTTTTGGCGTTTTATAAGCAATTTTGCATAATTAAAGTTATGTGATTGTTGCAATTACTCTGCTGCATATATTTCTAGCCTTGAGCTACTTCAGCTTGATTGGTTAACAGTTTTCTACTCGAGAGGGTTTTCGCATGGCTTCAAAGTCCATAACCGAGCAGTTCAGGAAGAGTGAGATTGACGAGAAAACTTACACCTTAATTGTAAGCATTCAGCTACTGACTCTGTATTTAATTCAGGACTCCCACTGGGTAGTTCAGAAACAACTCCCAACTTTTCGTATTCCAAATGCTCAAGATGTGTCTAGTAGCGGTAGTTCCCAGTGGCTGGAAGATATGAATACCCTTATTTCCTACTATTCGAATATCCTAACTAGCCCCTTTGACAAATTTTGGGTGGAGGTAGGAGTGCTGGTTCAATGTGACTTTAGGTGAAACATCAAAAATCGCTTGCATTATCAATGCACGCATTTCTCGAACATTGCCCAAGGTTTGTTGTGCGATTGCTTTAATTCTCCCAGGGACCCTAAACGTTTTGCTTTTCCGAAGAGGTTCGTCGATTCGGTCTCTCAATTATATGCATTGGTGCTTCTGATTCTTTTAAGAGCATCAAAATCCACAGAATCTAAGGTATTGTTTTTCATTTTAATCCAAGGCAACTTTAGGATATGTTTCTACGGTCATTTGAACATGAAAACATAATCTACAACGGTGCTGTCTTTGATATCCCGTGCTTAATCGATCTTGCAGTTCTCTATGGGAACAGTTTTCCAGACATTGTAACAACGATTTTTCGATCTGTGTTTGGTACGGGCGGCAAATTTGCAGATGATGCGGTTTCGGTTATTTGCCGTGCTACTACTGTAAGTTGGGTAAACTTTTATGTTTTATGGGACCTACATTTTCTAACGCTTAAGACTGTATTTTATTCATGCGTCTGCTGTCTTGTGCTTATTTTTGTGTGCATGAGGTGCGATCATTCCATATTTCAGGTTTTTGAACAGATAGAAAAGGGCGTTTCGGGATGGCAATTCGATGGCCGACATCAATTTACTTCCTCTAACTCCGATACCATCGACATCGTGTCGGAAACCATTGATTACATCGCGAATGCTGGAAGAAGTTTGGGCATTTTCTTAACCTTCCTTAGTCCAATAAATCCATCCATTGCGGAATTCTGTATTCAGCGAAATGTAATTTCAAGGTGGGTTTCTGTTTTTATGTATCGAATAAATTCACTGGGGCCTTTTTTTACTTTTCAGCTCATAATAAACTTCAATAATTATGTAAATTACTTGTAGTGCCTTCTGGTGTCTAATTCATTCCAGTAATACTTCAATTTATCACAATCTAAATGCTTACAAAACAGTCTGCTGGAACTAGACAAATTCAACCAGTGATCGTGGTTACTATGGCAATTTTAAGCTTCTTTTTCTTATTATGTGGTAAACGATTGATGCGTTCTGGCTCATGAGAATTGAGATGATTACGTCAAGTTCAACAGCCTATTTTGGATGTGCGCATACTAACGCCTTACATTAACAAACTTCATCATTGCTGTTACCTTATCTCACTGCTTATTATTTGTTTCAGTTTGGCTAATTTCTACAGCACAACGATCGTTACTATTCGTGATCACATTCTTCGCAGCATGACATGGTCTACCGAGTGCGTCTTAGTCTCTTTAAAACATGCAGTTGTACTACTACATTTTACGGTGTAGGGAAAGTGCAAGCTGAATTTTTGCTGAAAGAATCATAAAACTAGTCTGTCCGACGCAACCCTTCTAACGTGTAAAAGACGCAACTTATGCCTCCTTTTTGCTACTGCCTTATCCTTTGTCATTTTACATTGGCGTCACTTTTGTTTCATATTATTGAAAATGTAGGATTTATGCATCAGTTTGGAATCAATTTTAAGCAAGTAATTATTTTTATGAATGTGAAAAGTTACTGAGCTTTTGAGCTCCTCCAATAGCATGCAATTTAAACCATTGTCAATTTGCTCAACCACTTAATCTATTGCCGCTTGGTTTTGTTAAGGATACCTTGTGACTCGTTAAATCAACTTCTAACGTCAATTTTGCAATCAGTGTATTAATAACTTTTGTAGTTTGATGTTCATTACAGAAGTTACCTTCGACGGTGTAATTATTTTACCCCTTTTGGAGATTCTGCGAATCCGTAACCTGTGCTCTGATTCAGTTTTGCTATTACTAGCTTATTGAGTGGGTTGTTGTAGGACAACTTTAGTTTTTATCCTTTATTTTTTCTTGCTCAGAAAGAAGTCTGTGCTGCTGAACAAACTAGCGATTGCGGCGGCTGCTCTTGTAAAGACGGTACGAGTTGGACTTGTAGAACCGGGTCTTGTGCACAGGATCATGCAGATGACCTTCGATGGTTCGGACGCGAGCTCCAATCAATCTCTCATGGAGGCTACTAATACCCTCATTGCGGTTATGGTGGATATGCTAAACCACCCTGAGTGAGTCATAACGCGCTTAATTTTGAATCATCCACAGAAACATTTTGTCTCAGCATCATCAAATGGGTAGTAGATTTTACCAACCAAATCCATCGAATGTGAGATGTTGCTTAAATGCTAAGTAATTGCCGACTATTTGTAATTTAACTGTAAGTGGTATTGTTCTGATTTTCCGATTAGGTGATTTTGTGATGCACTTTCATGTTTGCCCATTACTACCCTCGTGTCTAGATTTGCGACGGCGTATGCGCGGCTGTATCCCGTGGACGATGAAATCATTCTTATTCGGGAAAACGCAAATTCCATAAATGTGTACGTACCGGTAGTATTTGCATTCTTCGTATTTCACTTTTTGTTCATCACGAGGTGGCTTTTAGTGTTATTTCTATTATAGACCACTATGACAGCCATTTAACTATCACTGACTATAAACATGCTGGGAACACTTTAGCATACGACACTGACAATGCTTTAATTCTCTCTGAATTGAATGGGTCAAAGATTTTGAAGGCATTTTTCCTTCCCCTGTCGATTGGACGTGTTTTTGTACCGTGGAGGGATAAGGACCAACTGGAGTACTTGCGAAATGCGTTCTCACGCCTGTTCGAAGAGTCGTCAGCGAAACTCGTCAACAGTGATGGCGCAGAGGTAGCACCGCCTCCTGTGGAAGAGATGTTGCGAGGCACGATGGATGAGGAACCTCAACCAGGCCCTTCTCGCCCTCCGCAATTCCTTGCTGTCAAAGCTGTTCTTCCCGCCACTAACGATGATCTCATTGAGGTAGGTGTGTGCACAGCTTTCATGCTGCCTAACACCTTCTTTCATTTCTGTTTATGCTCTTGTTTGCAGCGTTGTCTGGAGTACTACAATAATGACTCCCAATCTGCCATAACTGCACTCTTAGACGGATCGGTACCATTGGGTGTTAGCGATCCGGATTCTGTCAAGTAAGCGATTTATCATTTTTGCGTTCACTAGATGTTAATCACTGCCATTGTTGATGGCAAAAGTTGATTTGGTTCATTGCAGAAGATCCATGCATTACAATTCAATTAAATGGCTGAAAAGTGTGTAGACAGTCCTCATAGCACTGGTAAACATCTTTCGCTACTTTGCTCTCTGATATAAATGCAACGGCATCATCCTGCCATTAATGTTCCATATGAAGAGCCAATAGTTGACTTTCTATCTGCTTTCACTATGCATAAACAATTTTTCAAGATTTACCCTTAGGGAGTCCCATGATATGGTACGCCTAGAGATAAAAGCTCCCTTAACCTTTTTTAAGGCGCAGTAATATTAGAGAAGAGTTTGCAACCCCGTGAAAGATTTGGGTAATTATTCTTATGGGTAAAAAAACGCTACTCACCAAATATTTGTTTAGCTTTACGCTCATAAAACGTATCAAAAGGTCTAGTCTCCACATAATTCAATCTTAGGAACTAGTTTTTTCGTGAAGTAAACGAATAATTACTTCTCTTGGTGGGTAATTGCTGAAAAACAATGATGGACTATAAAACATTTGCCTTTGGTCCACTTACTGCTGTGATGGCAGACCGACGACGCAGTATAGGCCAGATCAACTCTGGCAGGGCAAGCGACAAAACGATGTCACGATGCAGCCCCTCTCAAAGGCGGAACGAGAGCATATCAGCCAGTTAGCTGTCAGTGTTTGGGATGACGACGATGGCAATCCCGAAAACGGGGGTGATGTGGAAAATGGAGGGAAGGGTGGTGCTAGGTTTTTTGGAGAACGCCAGGTGGATCTCACCTATGAAGGTAATCCATTTTTACGCCACACATTAATGTGCAGTAGCTTCACTGCTTCTCTACTTGCTTTCGTTTCCTTTAAGACGAATATGACGATACCTATGATGTGGAAGTGGGGGCTAAAATGGAGCCGCTGGACGAAGAAGAGGCTGAGAATGCAGAACTTGGGGGTGCATTTGATCAACCTGAAAAGTCACAGCGCCCTGCCTCCCCCACACAGGATGCGCAACGAGCTGACCGAGGGAAGCATCGCTACCGTCAGGTAGGATACGTAGATTCATTTTTCCCTTCGGCGACTGCAATGACCCCCTATGAACAAGTTAGATATGCGTCTTATGCAATTCTAGAGCTTCAAATATTTTAGAAATCTGTTTTCTCTGTAGGAGCCTTTTGATCCGCAACCACGCCAAAATGTTCTTCCAATTGAAAATCCTGAAAATGTACGTTGGAGACGCCAACAGGCCGCTGCGAACAGGGTGAGCTAGACCTTAGGGTGGTATTCAAATAATTTTCGCTGTTTTCAATATCAGGAAATATTCGGTGCTAAGGTATTGGGTTGACATGTTAAACATCTAATGATTGGAACCGCGGCTTACACGGTTAGCTAGGAAGGGTTAAAAATACGTTTCACTTCTCCAAAAAAGTAAATCCTCAGACCTCAACAACAGTAATCCCTCGCTGTATCGGAAATAAAAACAACAGATCGTATTCATTGTTCTTAATTAAAAACTATTTCTGTGCACAAATGATTCCGTAAAGTGGGCTACTTTACTGTAGTTCAATCCCTCCCTCGCATTCATAAGTTAGTTAAATGGGGGATTTTAGCGTTTCTTGTGTGTTACAAGCAGTTTTAATGAACACGAATCCAGAAAGTCAGTTCTGGTAAGAACTCCATGAAGTAGTATCCCTCTCGGAAGTTGCCTTTTTAGGCAATGCGATATGGTCGCGATAGGATAATCAAACGTTCAGGAGTACCTCCCCAGCTGATACCACCGAAGTTTGAAAAGAAATCACCTTCACAGTCCCTGGATGGGTTGTCAAACTCTGGACGCGGCAACCCAACGAAGACCGATGGAGAAGCCGGTCCATCCACTCAAAATGGACGAGGCGGTTCCAGGTCTGAGCACCTCCGTGGCCATCGTAACAGCCGTGGAGGTGGTGGTCGTGGCCGTGCCTCTGGCCGGGGTGGCGGCAATACCTACGCTAATCGCTTGAAAGAACGGTATGGTGCCCATGGCCGATGAAAATGGGCTGATAAAGAAATCCCTATGCCCCATCGCTCCTATCCCAGTTTTTCTGAAATGAGAACTCCAAAGAGCATCGTGACTGGCAAGACGGACTTTTCCGCATTCAAATATGTCTAAATACATATAAGACCCCCCTAGACATAGCTACGGTTCTCACGCTAGTATTGTCTTCCACTCTATGATAACTGCGACAATGAGATCATGATGTGCCAACGCTGTAGTAGGGTCTGTTATATTCGATCAATTGCATCCATTTCAAACTAAACTTAGTGTGGGACATGCTTTCCGAAGTACTTAAGTGTCGCTGTGATTCTTTGCAAAAGCGCTTGAGGATCGTTACACTGGCGGGCCAATCCTTGGGGTCTGGGGCTCGCTGCTCCGGGGGATGTTTTTGTACAATTTGGCAAAGCTAAACGTGTTCAATGATAATCCTTCGTGCTGGTAGTTATGTTTGATCCAATGCATAAAGCGAGGACGTTAATTCTGCGCATATTCAGGCCCCAAAACCTGACAGTGAACGCATCTTGGCAACAGAATAGTGACAAATATGAAGTGAATGAATCCGTGGAGTAATTCGGCCGGTTCAATCGAGATTGCAGGTCAAATGGGTTAGGAATGCGAAGAGCACAGGTCCAGGGGGTAGTTTTCCTTAACGGAAAGCTGCAGTTTTATAACAGTTGTTATTTAAAGATTCAAGTAGACAAAAAAGACGGTGGGAAGGAAGTTGTAGGCAGTACGAGGAACATTCAAGGTGTCTATTCAGTGGATTCGGGTCCTTCAATCAGGCGCTCCTCCCTCAACTTGGCTTCGACTTCTTTTGGATTGTCCTACAAGAAAGGGACAAACATCTTAATTGCACGTGAGGCTGCCCGAGAAACAGCGCGGAGTGGGCACAATCACACTCACTGAAACACGTAGCCTCACGTCGACTGCTCCATTTCGCGGTTTCCAGCTACTCTTACAAGGATTAATTTTACTGGGGAAGTTCGATACAAAGAGGGTATAGTTTTTACCGGTAAGGTCTTTACTTCCGATGAAACTGAATTTAAATCCACTAAAAGGAAGTTGGAGCGCCCATAAGCAACGAAAAACGGTGACTGGGAGGAGCAATGGGCACTTACGTTTCCATAATCTCACAGTCGATTTTCCCATTGTCGGACAAATTTGGACCGAAGAGCTTTTTGACTATTTTGAGGTCCGGTATTTGAATAGTGTATTCAATATCATTTTCAGTGGATATGAAAGCTAAAAGAGCAAAGCTAGTGAAAAGTGAAGAACAAAATTTAGTCCTAAGGGAGGATTAGTAAGAACCTGATTTTACAAGGAGTATTAAGCATAACTAGAAATGGGGAAGAGGGCTAATACAACCCTTCACACGAAACCCAAGTAAATTGAGGAGCATACCGTATGGGGGTGTATAGGATGAACTCGAAGATGCCATTGTATCAGCAAACTAGTATCGACCAAATATGTGGATTCGTGGGTGCAGCTACATCTATCAAAGACGCGAGGACTGCTGCAAAAGCGCGCAGTTACAGCAAGATCATTTAAAGCAGGCCTCTCTATCAAATATGCCTTGACAATATGTGATTATTAAACAGATGGAATAATAGTATTATCCTGCATTCTATGGAGATGACATATTTCGGTTTGGGTGAGTTCACCTGTGTCCCAAAGAAACGTTTCAGATCTAAGCAAAAGAACACATAATTTTCCCTCAAACTAGTAAAAACACATCAAATACATGGTTTGACTAAAATTAACTGCTTTAAAATAGGCAGAAAATTATTCATGACATAATTTAATAGACTCTCAAGTCATTCAAGCCCTCTCACCATACACATACTTGGCTTGACCCAGACTGTATAAGAGTAATTCGATAGTGTTTTACCCCTCGGCATTGGTAAGGCGTCACTTTTGTACTTTGATTTAGCTGGGTGGGCTGACCTTTTGGGCCATGCCAATAGCCCAGACACCTTCTCTGCGTTGAGTATATATTCTGCCCGAGTATTTTGTCTTCTTTTGTCTTCAGGGAGTCCCAAGGTGCAAAATAAGCCTAACATGCCTTTATTCTCATAGCACGAAAATAACCTAGCGTCGTGTGCAAATAGCTATAATCATTAACTTTTTAATAAGTTGCTCCCATGAAGATAGAATGTAAAACACTACGACATCTTAACTTACACGTTTTGCACTTTTAAGAAGCAAATACTAATGGTGTTTTTTGAAGCTTCAGTTGCACAATGTAATTTATAATTGAATTGATTATTTACCTTAATTTCAACTTCAAAAGACAAATACTTTAAGAAAATTTGAAGTAGTTTTCAGTTTTGTGATTCGCTTACAATTAAATGTTATTTACAAGGCTTCGTCGTTCTTTTTCGACGCCTTGCTTGTTTAAGCATGTCACTTACCATCTTTTTGGCTAAAGGATTTCTGAATCGTGTGGACATGGATTACAATGCGGGTTATAGGTTGAGGCTGTTTTCAGGTCGGTCGTGGATAAAGGTTCAGTCAACTTTATTGGCTGACGGTTTGTTGCTGACTCCTTTACAGAATAGTATCGAGTTTTCTGAGCTTTGGAATCAGAATTTATGCAAAAACAGTGGTACTCTTGATTTATTGTTATTTTTCGAGAAATCGGGAAGGAGGAATCTGAGGTCGTTTGCATAGCCAAGGGTGAAACCTGCGGCCTTGGTGTAAGCATAAAGGGTGGAAGGGAATTCGGAACACCAGTAATCATAAGCAAAGTTTTCAAGGTTTGTTATTTTGCTTTCGGCTTTGTATTTTGTTATATGCTCATGTTCCTAAGCTTCATGCGCCTCTTGCACCAGTTATTTTTTTGGATATTGCACCCATTTAATTAGTAACCGTAGTTAGTTGACTTTGACGTTTTTTAGGCATTGGGAATTTCCAATGAAATCGCTTTATACTACTGCACGTACCTATTTTCATTTACCTAAACCAAATTTACTTCATCCCGTTGGTATTACTATTATAGTTTCGATTTAATTGAGTTTGAAATATGTGTGTCACGTCATTTTGAATACCCGAGACTTTGTAAATCGCATGCTCTCTGTGACAGATTTTTTTCAAGTAAGGTTTTTTGAGTGCTTCGGTAAAAAGCTCATAGGAACATTGTATTCCTTGTTCTGTGTTTTCAGTCTTGTTTACTACATAGGGCATGGCTGCAGACCAAAGTAAGCAGCTCAAGGTGGGCGACGTTATTCTTTCCGTCAACGGTGAAAACATGCGCATGGCGTCCCACAATGAGGCAGTTAAAGCCTTGAAAAAAGCAGGTCCCAATATTTGTTTGGAAATAAGGCCGTTGCGACGAATTGCGTCATTTGTTTCCAAGTTACGGTCTGTTTGTTTTGGATTTTGGAATTTGCTTTGCGCATAACCCTACCTTTATGCTCATTTCCTTGGTCCGCCCTCAAAATGAACCCCTAGCGCTCTCGGCTGTCTTGTTCCACCGGAGGTATTTTACGGATAGATTTTCGCCCAGCTCCTATTCTTATCTAAATGCCGTAAAATCCACCATGCTATTGTTTCCCAAAATCGTACAATAACGTTGAGGTTTTCTTATTCCATCTCATTTTACGTTTCTTTTGTTTTCCAAACACCCTAAAATATACCGCATCCATATTTGGGAAGCGTATGTTCCTTAAAATACAAAAATATCAACCAGGTGAAGATTTTAATTTTGATTAATTTAAAATGTAACCCTATTCTTAGTAGACTTCAGTCAAAATGTTTGCCTTCGCCGCCTGGTTTCACTTTTCCTACCACAACAATGACGAGTATTTCGACAGCTTCTGGCCCTTCGCAAAAACGCATCCAAATTCCCCTCAGTCTCGCCTACGTTGCGCGCAGGCGACATCGGCCAGGCTCCGGAGAGGAATGCGCAATTGATGATGAAGCGCCCTGCTGCTGTATCGAAATCTTTTCACCCGACCTTACTCAGTCCTGTCTCTTCTGTGCCGGTTCGCATCAACTCGCCAGCGTTTGGTTCAAATCGCTCAGTCGGCACATCTCTATTCTCAATCAGCTTCACCTTCAGCAGATTATGCGAGTTCTTCCTCACTTTCAGGTAGAAAAACACTGGTTTAGCGCTCATATTGGAGAAAAAATTGTATTAGGAACCGTGAAAACTAAGCAGGCTATTCTTTTGATTGAGCGGAACCATTTTAATGAAAAAAAGTCTAGGTAATGCATATGAGTAAACAGCATATTAAAACTAGCTTTATTCACAACAACTCAAGTTCTTCATCCGCCATCTTTGATTACGATTTGCCGCTTGGGTTTTTTGTGTCGATTAACAGGCGCTGTGCCGTCCCTGTTTAACTTGATCCCCCTGCTATTCACATTTAGGTTGCGGTACCGCCTTCATTTTTAAATTATTTTGATGAACTCAGTGACCACGCTGAAATAGCTCCATTTCAGTGGGGCATTAAGCTGATGTCAGGTATATTTATCGAAATAAATAACTGTTTGAGCCGTAAAATATATTTTATTTGAATTTCTTGACCTCCTGAAATATAATAGCAGACAAGATAAAAATAAAACACGTGAAGCACATATTATCTCTTCCAATTTAAGTAAATAGCCTCTTTTCTTTTTGGCTCAATGAAAAATTTTGACGTTCTAATGAGGACATAATTATGCGAAAATGCTGTCCGGTTTGAGGGTTATTTTGTACCAAGTCAATGTCGCTTTGAGATTTATGGTTGAAATTTTTAGTCTAGGAGGTTTAACATGTAGAACTATTGCACTTGGGATCCGATGCATTTTAAGATGAATTTAGATCAGGTTGAAACAATGCGTGAACCTTAGAGTTCTGAACTTTATGAATATTTTAAAATTTATGTCCGCTGTTTAATGCATGATATTTTTCCTTGTTGCAACCTCTTACTTGGAAATTTGTCGTCAAATTTATTACGAAATGAAGTCATGTTGGAAGCATTTAAACAGTTAACTTCTTTCCTGTGGATTTTTATTTAGGTTTGATATGACTTTTTTCCACCCTTTTATTGCTTCATTTGCTTCTTGCCAGATCCTACTATTGCGTGGATGTGCCCACTATATTCTGCAATAGGTGACTCAACCGTCAAGTTTGGAATAAAAGTGAATGAAGCGATTAGGCCTCCGACTCGAACGTATTTTCTAGGATGCCCTCTAGCTTGGTACCAACCTGATTAAATCATGGTATTTAAGATCAAACTCAGCCCATCAAAAGAGTAAAAGTGACCCATAGCCTGTTTCTCCTTAAGCAGTTTGGTTAAACTGTTTCGCGGGACAATATCATATTCTCAAAACCGGGTCATTTTATTTTTTCTAAAGTTCTCTAAAGTGACAACAACGGCGAAGCTTTCTTTTCTAAGTGGAGCTATATCATATCTGTCCTTCATTTTACACCTTTTAAATGGCAGACACCTACAGAACTTCAAGGATAATCTGTGCTACTTGATTATTTCATTGTCCATTTTCAAATAGCCCGGTTGTGGTGATAAGACTGAGTTTAGTCAACAACAATGAAATCTTACCCTCTTTCGAAATTTCTTTGCATCCAATAACCTTTTTCGAAGGCATCTAAAATGTTCTCTACCTTTTTTTGTCAGTCCTTGATTCTAGCCTGCTTTTAAACAGAATAGAGAGATAAATACCTTATGAAGTAAAACGTGGTTGTAAACAGAAAAATGTATGACTTTGAGGATTGCGAAACGATTGATAGCCCCTTACCCCTATGCTAAAACAAGTTTGTAATAGGATAAATATTTTTTAACTACTGATCATTGACTCTGTGCGTTGGCAACCGATGTGGCAATAGATATCATTTCCGGTTTGGGTTGCTGTAATGAAAGTTGTTTCTCAAAAATTTCACAATGCTCATTGTTGCATTAATGAAGGGCAGGGCAAACTTCTCTTAGTGAAAACTCCAACTTCCCGTCAATACTTTGGGTCTATCAGCTGCCTAGTGTGTGTTAGAGGAAGTACATGAACTGTTAAAGTTCTTTATTATTCATTAAACAGTTTTTTTAAAGTATTGTACAAGTGAGGTCTTTTTTGGTTAGAAGACCCTCACGGTTTTCTATTTCTGTACATTCCGAACATTTATTTGCATTTGGGCTTGTAGAGTAAATCATTAGTTCGGAAGTGTGGAAATCATATCGCATGTTTAAGAGGTAGACTGTAGTTTATGCTTAACAATATTTAATGCAGGAAATTGAATTCCCAGTTTAAGTGTTAAGGTGTGCCAATGCTGTGAGTAAGTACTTCCGGAAACGTCTGTTTTTTTTTATGAATTTAAACAAATATTAACTATTAAGAATAGTGTAGTCTCACTTATAATATGGGCTCCTGTGATCTTTTGTTTTGTCTTGTGAAGGGAGGGGAAAAGGTTCATGCCTTTTGAGACTTCAGGTTATTCATTAGAGGTGGTAGCTGCTAGAGCTGTGGCTATTATTAGCGTATTCCTTTGGCTCAAATCATGAGGTCCCATGATTTAACACAAACGGTTCAACAGCTTCTGTTCTAATAGCATCGGCAATTTGACTTCAGCAGTTTTTAATTAATATGCGAGTTCCCACTCTATCAAATGGGGTTTCTTATATATGTACATGGCTATGATTTGAAGTTATTTGCAGAAAAATATGTTAGCTACATAGTTTCATTTATCATACCAGCTAGGATTTGATGTATCAAACGATTTTAACTAAAACGATTTCGGGATTTGTTTTTTTTAAGGTTTATGGTAAGGATCTTCCTGCGTTAATTTCTGCATTTCCGATGGAGGCGATCATGCATCTAGAAAGTTGCTATGATTTTCTGTTGCGCAGATGTTTTTTGAAACCTAAAAATACTATTTTCCTATATGTCTTCATTAGTTTTGGCTGAAGCTACATATCAAATCAACATACTAAATCAGTAGCAGTTATTTTTATGCTCGTGCATAGTTTCGAAAAATTGGATGGGTCCTCGAACTGGACAAATTGATCGACGACGACAGCGATTCCTGCCTGACAGATCTCGACAATCCCTTCCAGATCCCCTCTACTTGCGCTTCCTCCGAAATAACTTGGCAACCAGTGTTTCTGGTTGTCACGGATCGTCTTCTATTGGTATTTTCTCAAGCACCACAGTCTCCAAGTGAATGGTCTCTTCCCTCGGTCTCGGTCGCCCTCATCGCCACTCGTGTTGTTGTCGAACCTTCGTTATCTACTAACAAAGAAAGTCCCGCCTCACTGGGTCACATGCCACATTTTGAGCAAACATCACTTTGTTTCACCGTCCGCACGGGTATGTGCATCCCGCTATTCTAATATATGTTGGCTACTCTGAATTCAAGTTAAAGCATATATTATGAAAAGTAATAAATGTCCGATCCGTATCCGGAGGTTTATGAACATTACCATTAGTCATGATCCATGATTTAGAGCCTTTTGGTCCCAAGAAACTCCTCTATTAGGGAGAAAATTGGCATCTGCGAGTCTTGGTTTTGTCAGTCGAAGGCCATGGGTACTCGTTGCAATAGTTTTACATCTTATTCCAGTCAACTTGTAACAGTCAAGTACTGTTTGAGACCGAGAGTCATTGAACTATCTGGATTTAATAAAGTATTTCTTTTAAAAAAGTAACCACTAACTTGCGTGATCGCGTAAATAAAGCTAGAGTTATGAAATCTATTCATTAATTCAATTTGTAATTCGCATTCGCTATCACTTATATAAAAGTCGTGATTGAAGCAAATAAAGGGTTATCAGAACAGTTTTTAACTGCGAAATTTCATGATCTTATTTGAAAAGAGAATTTTTGGCAAAGATTGTGAATGCATTTGACAATCAGAGGTCTTTAAATTAGGTTTATAGCTGCGAAATTAGTTTTTTATCAAAAGATTCCGTTTAAAAGCGTCCTCAACCATAAAATAGTCGCTAAAATACTCGGTTTATGGAACGTCTGACAATAACTGTAGTGCCCCGAGGCTTTTTGAGTCCGTAATTAGAAATAAGGATTGTTTTTATCCGTGTATAGAATGGTTGGGAGGCTGTTGGCATTGCCCTTTATCTATGCGTCCAAGACGGACGTAGAATTTGCGGAGTTGTTATAAATAAATTTAAAAGCACTACAGTATCTTGGAGTCATCCGTTTACAGCTAACCTTCGTGTAAATGTACGGAATGAGCTACGACTGATTATTTAAATGGTATCATCACTGCTGGCCTTAAGTGTGGCGGAATGATAATATAGCATAATAGAATACATACATGGAGTTCCAACTAAGACGTTATCGGTGTGTTTTTGAGGTTCCAGCTACTTCATTATCATATCATACTAACCGTCGAAATCCGATGGGAAATTATTTCAGTGGTGCAGCCGGCTTTTTGCGTTGACGTTTCTCATTCTGTTTCCAAACTGTTAGAAGATTGGAGGTGTTTCTGTGCGTGAGTGGGTTTCAGGCAGGCGGTGTGGCGTGGAGTCGCACACATTTGCCGCACCGACGAGCAGTGAATTGAAGAGTTGGTTAGAGGCCGTGACACAGAGCACAGAGGAGGCGCTGGACGCGATGCCGCAACTGACCATCACATGTCGGTGGAGAGGTCTCGATGCACTTCTAGTGCTCCACCGTTTCGTTGGCATCTACCTTTTTCGTGCCGTCGCCTTAACAACCGCACAAATTCCTCAATTTCTTTGGTACTTTCCTTTCGAGCATGTCTCCTCCACTGCTGATGACGGAAAGTGTCGATTGTGGATCACCTTTAATCGGGACTTAGTCCAGGTACTTGTTCGCCAAGCTAAAGTGAATGTTGATTTCTTTCTTAAAATTATTGGGTGCACCTTATTTTCTATTTATCTGCATAAATTGAATTTGATTTGGATGAGTCAGTTTAAAGTTATTGAAACTGCAAGTTGGATATTACTTTTCAAAAGGCAAAATATTTAAGAAGTGCTTCACAAGATTCTTCAATAATCACTCGACACGCATAGTCCTATTTCCTCTTTAAGGAAATTGCCAAACTAGGTGTTTCCTGCTCATAATATGTAGTAATTGTACTTGATGGGATATTGGGTTGGACCTCAGTATAAAACATAACTATACTTCTTCACTTTGAAGAGGAAAGTTAGACCATCGACATGTCCGAGATTTGTACACAAGATATGATCCCATTAGTAGTTGTCTCGTTTTGAAAACGGATGATCAATTATATTTATGTGAAAAGGCTTCAATAAACCGTGTTAATTCAAGCTATTATTTTGTTCGAAAACTTTGACAGTCGCATTTGATGTGGCAGAGATGAAAAACGCCTGTCAACGACGAGTCGACCGAAGGTGAGGAAAACCTTGGTCAGGCGGTGTTCCCAAATGTACGCGCTCTTAACTCAATTTGCTTAAGGAGCCAGATTTCATCATGATTAATGACAATTAATTGCACCCTTCAAGCCTTGCAAACGAATGCTTTTAATTTATTCCCTGATTAACCTTTTTAACCGTTCGACTCCGAGATACATGTTTCAAGCAATTTGGTTGCTTTAGTGAATAGAACATGTGCCAATATTTCAGTCCTACGAGGTTTATGAGTCGGCAATCAAGTGGTTTACAATATGATCTTTGACCTCTCATTTTTGACATAACAAGTACTTTTGGGTTACATATGTTAATGTGTCATTTGCTCTTACATTTCATGTACAAAGAATTCACGCCATTCTAGTTGTAATTTAGTTTGTTCTTTCAAATGGTGATTAGTTCGTGTTTCCAGTCGCAAACTTTTTGTTACATATTACCACATTTTCTCCCTGTGCGCTTCCACTTTTTTGTAGCACAGTTAACAGTTAAATTAATTTTACCTCATTCGGAAATAGCTACTTTGTCTTGCATTCATTTTAGGAGTTGGAATTGCCAGGAGGTGCGAAACCCGTTGTTTTCGTCCTGCTCAATATTCTTTCAATGAAGTTGCTGGATATAAACAATTTTGGATGATGTCCTTTCCTTTACGCTTCTGCTACCGCATTCCACATGATACTCTCTCCGAAGTGTTGTATCACTCATTATTATGTGATTTGTGCTATGTATAGTACCCATGTACATAATGACTTCCGGTAGTTTGCATGTTTTATCTAATGACCAATTCCATTCATTTATTCCTAATACATGATGTCTTCTGCATTCTTTGATCTAATACCGGCTCAATAAATTAATATGATAATACAAGCAATCTGTTCAGGAGAGTGTGTTCTGCTACACCTTTACATTAGTATCTACCTGCTTCCTCCAACAACGCGAATGATTGTTGTGTTTTTATTCCAGTTTTAAAGTCCCATAAATGGGCGGAAAAGCTAGTCAATGCCTACGTAATCTGCTGTCTGTACTCATGGATGGTTCTAATCGCTCTTTTACCTGATTAAAAGCTTTTTCTGAGCTGATTAGCCTCCGAAGCACGCTTACACCTTGGGATTTTTGAGGATAGATCAAGCCCAAATATGGCATGCTGCTCGATTCCACTAATTTATACCGGGGTCGGTGAGTTCTCTTGTAGTCATTTGACAAATGTGTCGAAGGTATGTTTGTGAAGCCCTCTTGACTCCCCACTGCACAGCTACATTCCCGGAGGTTATAAAACAAGTGCTTTTAAATTCGATGGAAAAGTGAAGACAAATGGACCCAATTCCTTGAATTTGTAGCATCAGTAGTGTATGCGCCACCGTTTGGTAAATGAAAATGGAAGTCGGGGACAGAAACTGGTGCGTCCAATTTTTTATGAAGTTAGTGGCTCAAAATTCAACACGGGTAATTCTAAAAATGGAGGAATGTTGAATTCATCATCTAATGACATTTCAAATTTATCTCAGCATCAGATCTGTTTCCTCGCGTTATATTCGACGGCTGATGTGTAGTACCAACAACGGTTGCTGTGACAATAGATGCTACATCAATTCAATCAACACTTAATGGAATCTGACCACATAAGGTGAAATACCTCGTGGTTCCACTCTTGGGGACGATTTCATAAAGGTTGCACAATGAAGTCAGCTCCGCACATCACACCACGTTAGCATTGTTACTAGCAACTTTGGCGTACGAGTTGGCCTCAATGGTTACGAAGCTAAGAGTGGTGTAGAGGGGGACGGCTACAAAGCAAAACAGACGATTTCAGGATGCGTACTAGGACAATGATAAAAGAATTCTGGACGAAAGTGGTTTCCCTTTTTCACTAAAATACAACCAGCAAACAGTAGCAACATTGAAGCCTTCTCACCATTTGCTGGCCGTATTGAGCCAGTCTATGCCCTCAGCTGAGGACGGTTATTTTCGAGACAGGCAGGTCACTGGAGGACTGAATGTACTTTTCCCAAAAAATTGGATATATTAAATGTGGTGGGTTTATTAAATTTGGGTTGTGGGAGAACATCCCAAGGCATCCCAAGACGGCAAAAGTTCTGAGCCTAAAAGAGTCCTGTTTCTCAAACATTGCACGCGGTTGCATGCGCCTTCCATAACTCGAGATTGTCCTCAAACCTATTAATACCGTTTCTATTGATGGAGGTAATACGGTCGAAAATTACGTAAACTTTAGGTTATGCGTCAAGTAGGAAAACGCTACTAGAAGCCCATTTTCATTACTCTACTATTCTATGCGGGTTGGTAATCGCTTTCAATGACAATGCCTCATAAACGGCATTTACAGACTACAAACTGAGATTTGTAGCAAAACACAAATGCGTACTCAACGGGCCTCTTGAGTTTGCTTTCAGCACATTTATGAAAGGTAATGGCAATACCTCAACTGAATTCAGGAGGAATTGCCAGTATAAACATTTGTGAATGCTACTGAGGATCATGAGTCCGCGTTATTCGTTTTTGCATCCACTAATTTGTTCAAGTAACCAAGTAAAATACAACAAACTGCGTTGTTTACGCAAATCGCCCCAACTGGCGGCATCGTAAAGTCGTTTACTTTCACCCAAATCACGGGGTCATTAATGTGATCTAATTCATGCACTGTTAATGGACCAATAAAATCCAGAAAAAAAACCATTGTTAAAAGGGAAATATTACGAAAGAATGATATCAAATCTATGAAAGTTTTTTACTACTGACTAAAAGGGGAACTTGTTCTTCCAAGGCTATGGTGACATGGAGACCTAGTCGTGAACACCGTCGATACGACAGTACTGTGTTACAAGTTAACGGTTGAGATGTGGCCTGGGCTAAAATTACTCTAGGTCAGTAGGTGGTACATACACCGACGCACTTCAGTGATTGTGCTGCAAATTCTTGGAGTTGAAGGAGCTCTGAGCCAGAGGCTACTGCCCTTACGTTAAGTAATACAAGAATGCGAAGGATTTAACTGGCTAAATGGGAGCTGAATAGCCACGCCATCCTTAGTCTCTTCATATGTCAGCCACGGGTACAGCACTACCGAGGATTCGTGCCATCCCAAAAATGACCTTTAGCTGGGGGGAAGTAAAATAACGTAACGGAACAGGTTACACACCATGTTAACACCGCTGATGGCACTTGCTAACGGTCTGTCTCCCACAAGAGAGGATATGATGATGCCTTCTTGGCGCAGAAATGAAAATGATTACTATTTAATAGCTCCTGGTTTATGTGTGTTGTTTTAAAAATCCTATTGCATACCTGTTTATTTTCAACAAGGGATAGGTTTTTGAAGGCGAAAATACTGTCTTTATGATTCTCTGAGGAACTAATGGTGATGGTGGAATATGCCGTACCACATATTTGTTTAATCATACCCACTAGGCAAAACGCGGTCAATTTACGCCAATATCTTGATATTACTGTGTAATACGATATGTAATACGATAGTGGTTTATCCCTCGGTTCTGGTGAGGCGCGACTTTTGTACTTTGAATTAGCCCCCTTGTACCTCGCTGGGTGGGCTGGCCTTTCGGGCCATGCCAATAGCCCAGACACCTCCTATGCACTGAATACATATTCTGCCCGAGTATTGTGTCTTCTTTCGTCTTCAGGGAGTCTCGGGACGCTACAACTGACTTCCGAGGTGAAAATCAACTTTGGTACTCTGCAAACCTTTCCCGTACTATCCAAATAAAACGCGACCTTAATATTCTCGTTGCAAGGGCATGAAGCAAACCATATGAGACAAAAACAGGTTCCGGTCCAATGTGACATGGCTACTGGAATGCCAATGAGGAAAAAAACCGAAAAACGAGGGATTTGCAAGTTAGTGATTCTGTAGTAAATAACCGAGAACAAAGGGGCTACCATGACAGGCTATTAAATCGCTAGTCATTACGTAATACGATAGTGGTTTATCCCTCGGTTCTGGTGAGGCGCCACTTTTGTACTTTGAATTAGCCCCCTTGTACCTCGCTGGGTGAGCTGGTTTTTTGGGCCATGCCAATAGCCCAGACACCTTCTCCGTGCTAAATATATATATTCTGCACGAGTATTGTGTCTTCTTTCGCCTTCAGGGAGTTCCGGGACGCTACAATTATGTGCCCCGTCATCTGCAATTCAGAGAAAAAAGGTGACGAAATAGCAAAAGTTAAGTATTTCAGGGCACAAAAACAGATGCTATCCGTCACACTTTCGGTCTAACAGAGACATCCTTAGTATTAATGTACGTTGTTTGAACAATTCACTTATATGATAACAGTTGTTGATAGCATTTAACTGCATTATCTAATGTCCCACACGAACAGTCAACTGCGAAAAGCCACATACTTCTACGTCTAAATGGGGCAATTTGAAAGGGTCGAAGAAATGAGACCACAAAATGAGTAACGAAGATTGCATTTAATATCCAAGTAGATATAAAAGTGATTCTAAGTGGGTGTTTGCAAATACAACTTTTTTGTCACGCAAAGTCAGCTTCTTTGCTATTGAGAAATCATACTTATTTTTACTCATACCGAGTCTCTAACACAATCAAAAACTAGCCACACTTTGGAGCCACCTTTTATGGTTTATTAAAAACAAGTGTATTTTGATTAAAGATTTATTTGGCTCTCCATTCTCCGCATCTCCCACCTCCATTAGAGCCCTACTTCCCGGCTATGACTATAGCTAATGGACCAGTGCACCGGTTAGCAATCATTCTTCTTAATTAGTAAAGTGGTCTAATGCGAGTTCAAAGGAGATTCAAGATGATTTGTAGCCACAAGTTTTAAAGCACTTTTAATGTTCCAACTATCCCTCCAAAGGTCATCGTTTGAATACCAGTCGTTGTGTGTGCTCCACGGTGTTGTCTATTTCTCAATGTCTGTGTGTAGTCTTCCAACTTGGCCCAACTGTATTTTCTTCGGTGACTCAATAACGCAGGTTCGCTTTTTAGAACTTCATTGCGTTTTGTCCTAGTTGTTGTCTACCTTTCCTTAACGTCGAGGATTGTTATTTGTGCCAGCCTGAGTTGCTGATTGTCAGTTAAATAGGGCTTGTTTTGTTAACCACTATGTTCGTCATTCACCTATGTCGTGTTTTTTTTAGGCCGAAATCTCCAACGTCTTTAAAAATAAGTTACTTATCCTCCCGTAGGGAGTCCAAGTGAAGATAATGCTTTTACCGAAATGGAGTTCTATTGATGCACTTTATTAAAATGTGACGTATTTATTTTAGCGAGGATTCGATGAAGAAGGATGCTATCTCAGCGTTCTAGCCTCTCGATTTCAACGGTAAATTCGGCCGTCATCTGTGCTTTTTGATGCCGAATTACGCCTTAGGCATCGTAAAGCAGTGTTTTTAGATGCCGTTACTTCAAACATTCTCCCCATTTGTTCCTGATTTATCATATTGCAGACGAGCAGATATCGTGGGTCGAGGGTTTTCTGGGTATAATACACGCCTCTGTCTCCCAGTTCTAAAAATTCTCTTCCCCAAACCGGAGTGTCTGCAAAACACGAGTGCCTTCTTTATCTTCCTCGGTGCCAACGATGCCAGTTTTGAGTCACAGAAAGTAGAACTTCCTGAATACAGGAGTAATCTTTCTCTCATGATTACCCATCTTACTGTATGTTGCTTCTTCTTATTTTGTCTGCTGTTGGATATGAGTAGATAGAACAGTTTTATATGTTTCTGGTCACCGTTTCATTCGAGATTTCATATTCAAATACTGTCGTTTTCCTGTATTGCCTCTTAATGCCTTTCTCCAAGTGGTGGTATTGCATAAATGACCGATTCTAGTGCCGGTTTTTCACGGAATTTTGTGCAACAGTGAGCTGAGCAGTTTTTCGCTTCCAGTGCAACCTTTATCGCCGTGCTAGTAGTTTCGTACAGAGTTAAATTTGAGTGATCAAGTACGTCTTTACATATCGGCTGACTGAAATACTACAGTAATTGAAGTCATCCACCAAATTCTAACCATGAATAGAAAAATTGGTAGTTTCTGTATTTTCTAAAACGTTTGTTTGATAATTTTGTTACTCTTTTAAAGGAAATGGAATTGGACCGGTCGAAAATATTCATAATTACCCCACCTCCAGTGGATGAAATTGGACAAGAGCCCAATCACTTGACTCCAGGTGAGTTCGGTTTTAGAGCATTGAACTTATAGGCATCGAGTTTAAGTCATCTAAGATTGGTAGTTTGTAGTGCCGATATTATCCCTTAAGTTAACTTTCAACTTCTCCATTTTCTTTCAAGAACAACCCATTACTAGGACTTTTGAAAACACGAAAAATTACGCGAATGCTTGTGTAGAGGTCGCGAAATCGGATGGTGTGACTTGTGTAAATTTGTTCGAGGCGATGGCGGCGCAGAAGGTGATTTTTCAGCCGTCTACTATATCTTTCTAGTATGTTCTCATAGTTGTTTTTATATAGGAATGCAAAGGTTATGCACAATAGCTTGATCAATGACCAGATGCATCCTATTCAAGATTGTAGGATTAATGAGAGCCGCTTGAACTTATCCCATTCCATGAATAGACAGAAGAGGTAGCTTCTCTTTTTTATTCTTTTATATTTCGTTCATCCAGAACTGGAAAGATTTCCTCATAGACGGTCTTCACTTTGCAAAGCCCGGAGGAGTATTTTGCGCCGAAATTCTGGGTACCCTATTGGACTCGATTTTGCCATCAAAACAAAATTTCCCTGATTGGAAGTATGCTCTGGAGCTGGATCTGTGCAAACCTTTTCCTCTTCACTAGAATGAACAACGCATTTGAATCCCTTGCGTCGAACCATGCTTTTTGTGGCCTGAATTATTAATAATTACTGGTTGATTTTGAATGAGCCATTTTCCGTTTTATGGAGGTGCGAGGCTTTGCTATTTTTGCTCGCTTTACTTCTCATTAAGCTACACTGATTGTAAAGTGGGTTACAAAAGGATAGTGAAGGCATTTGAAATTTTCACTTTGCGGTTTGTTTTTATGCGTTTTCTAGTGTACTCATGGGGTGACACATCTAGCTCCTGATCAGCTGGAATATGAGGAACCTTCGATTAGGACAACATGTGAAATTCTTCTACCAGTTGATGCAACTTACTAGAGAAACTTAACGCTTCCGTAATCGAGTCCTGCTTTTCTCAAGTACTTGAGGTGCTTGCACAGCTTCAGGAGTACAATTTTGCTTAGGCTAAACCAAACTGAGAATGTCTGCGGATTCGTTTGTTTAGGCCTTTTTGATATTACACCGCCATCGGTTGGTTCCACTAGATTTGCTTATTTGGCGGCCTTAGGCTTCCTAGGAGGGGATTATTTGGATTCGCTATCAACGCCAATGGTTGTAGGATAGTAATATAACATCGTGAATGTGTTTTAGCCAATCCCAACTGCGCGGTTGATGCGTTATGAACACGGTACCTGTCTTTTTTGTACCGTGCAAGCGCAACTGCATGGTCTACAAGTAGGTTTTTATGCTTAAGCAGCACAATAAGCGTCGATTTTGTTATCCACTTAGTTTTTGTGTGGTCATCGCATTAAGGGCGGTAAAAAAATGGGCTTATTTGTTTATTGTAGGTGATAAGATTTCAACGGCCATTAGTAGGGCTAGGTGCATTTCAAGACTGGTGCCTAAGCGATTTTGGTGGGACTTGATGTGCCAACCGATTGACTGGTGTTAGGACCGTCTCACTTTCTCAAATACACGAATAAGACAATCGTGATGCTTATGCCACCAGAAAAAGCTTTGTTCTAGAATAGTACTGGATCAGCGGTGGGGCACTTCTGATAATAGTGTATCCTAGATTGTCGTCCAATTTCGAAGGTCAGCGTAGAATAGGAAATAACTTCGTCATTAATTGAGTGGCACTTTATTCATTGATAGAAGTGCCATTTTTCTTTAACTTTCAAGGCCCTTGGCAGTTGTGCCGTATCGGGAGTTAGTGTAGGCTTAACCTCCAAATTCCACATGAGTTTTAGATAGAATTAAAATTTCACCAGTCTTGCGGTGATACCTTTTCATCTCGATGTGTTTTGTCTGAGACGTGAGTCGTATTGCAATTCTACTGGATTAGCGAAAGACTGCCTCGCATTTCACCTGATGAATACTTACTGCACCAGCTTCAGGATCAGGAATTTGATTTTCCTTCTTTTTTTGGCAACAATGCATTTCGGTATTTGTAGTCCTATGTTTTAGATAACTGGAGTTCCATTTATTGAACCCAAAATAAACCCGGAGTTTTGGTTCGTGCTTCGATTTGGTGGAATCAAGTAGCGCAACTGGTGGATTCGTTGGACAGTCGCAAATTGGTCTACTTACGCCCATACAGTAGTATGGTCTAGTGAACAATTTATTACAAAAAGTGTTGGGGGGAATGGTAACAAATCGTTTACTTTTCCTTATTGTATAATTTTACTCGGACAGCCGGGCTCCAAATGCATCCAATGTTTGCGTACACAACGTCGAAAATGGTTGCCTTTGCCTTTTTTGCAAGTTGAGTCAGCAAATGATCGACGGGGGGTGTTAGTCTGACAGCAGGAGTGTCTTCGACCTAAAAGATTTCACTTACTTAAACAATTCAGTTTGTTCTCATAAAAAACAGTATAGTCTTAGACTGAAAACTGTAACACTTACGTTGCAAAAATGTAATTTTTATTGATTCAGTCAATTCATGAAGGTCATGGAAATAGCAGGCTACTTTGAAGGACCGAGTGATAAGTTTCGATCAGTGAAGGGAAAACGATGCTGGAATCTGGAAAGTGAAAGACCAGAAAACCTCATTACATGTCAAATAAATAGGACTATGGCATATTTTTAAGAACTACGCTGTTAAATATTACGGAGAGAAAAGTGTGTCTGTTCTTGGCATCGCAGCAAGTTCCATAACTATGTCTACTGCCCACCATTCCACCTAATAGTTTTATTCTATTTACGCAGTCAGCGATTATCACTGAGCATAGAAACAACTTGAGAAATTTGAGTAAAAATACATTACCTTTGGATTGCGCTCAAAAAGGCCTTCGGAAGGTGTCAATTAAAACACCAGTCGAATCGCGTGCAAAGCCATTTCATAAAAAGTAAAGGTCTGATTATCCTAATTTAATTCTGTCGTGGAGGAAGTTTGTGGGTTCAAAGTGAGGAATTTGAAGTATTTTTTAAATAGGTTCTTTTTTAAGGAAAACTTTTTTGCAATTTTAAGGATTATGCGATTGCTTATAGCCCATTTCACCGGATTTGAAGGAGAGGGAGGATGTTTAAATTATAACTCGTTTGGTGTCACAGTGACTGAGTGATTAGATTAATTAAGCTTAACACACTTGCGTTCGGTTTTGTTTCACCACCTCCTTAAGTTCACTTCCCTACCGGATTAATTGTAGGCACTCAAAGTGCTTAAATTAGGTAGGGAGATACCGTATTCATTTAAGGCTGCACAATTAAAGATGCTATTATATCTAAATCACCTGCATTACTTCAACTGGCAGCCCATAAACAGATCAAAGAATGATTTCAAAATAAAAGAAATTCAGGCCAATCTTTAATAAACATGTACCATTAATGATTAAAAAACAACGTAACGTATGAAGTAAGCCCAAATTTGCCACTTAATTTAACAACAATGTGCCTCTGTAGTATATACTAAAATCCTAATGAATTCGTGCCTAAACGAGAGAGTTGAACTTAGTAGTTAACTGTTTTTGGGAGCTTGAAGACAAAACAACAATGTATTGAGTGACAAAGGATCCTTTAAGGGGTAATATGGGAGTGGAAATTACTTAATTAAGACAATGTAGTAGGAATGTTTCTTATTACAATGCAGGAGCACTATTGAGTAAGACCACTATTAGAATACTCTCAAACCAGTTAGTACTATTTTAAGCCAAAATTCCAAAATGGTACCATGTTTAGGCCTTTGCTAGCCCACGTTGTCAACGTAAGCAATCACCCACAGCAATCTGTAGTCTTTTATAACAAAATTACGTGTTGAGAAAAAACACCTTGAGATACTTGTTCTTCTCCCCATTAATTGAATGGGCATTTATTTTTCTGAGTTAAAAGGAATGAAGAAGGCATAATTCACCACTTTTATCCTCCCACCGATACGCATACGAAATGTAAACCTAAGGCTGCTTTGGATTGGTGCGCATCATTGCGCGATGTCTGCCCCTCCCTTAAATTTCATTGGTTCATTCCTGTATTGCCCTAACCAACTCTTTTTGAGTTGGCAGGGCGCGAGGCGACCGGTAGATACCTGGTCTTTCGTCTGATGTAACTCTTCAATTTCAATCACCTGAGGTAAGTTATTTTTAGCTGTACCAATAACCTCAAAGTATGGCATATAGAAAAAACAATTCTGAAAGTTTTGCATTTTGAAGTAAATAAATTACTTTAAAACAGTGAAGTGATTCGAATGAGCAAACTCTTAAATACTAAATGACTTCGTTTACATGATTTTCGGTGGTGTATTTACTTATGCATCATGCTGACTTGATTACTGACAATGAGTGATTTGGCGTTGTATTTGAGGGAAAGTGAAGGCAGTTATTTGTGTTTAACTGATAATGATGAAAAAAAAAATTGGAGCTAGAATGAAAAGAATAAGCATCCATGCCTTAATAACACTCAAATATAAAATTTTGCAGCCGTTATTCCCCATTGAAGAAGCAATACAATATGGCGAATGCAAATGGCTAGCACATTAAAGTGTTATTCAATGCTTATACAAATGTAGCATATTTATTCGGAGAGAATGCTTCCTGGAAGAGGTGATAATGGAAAAATTTTAACTAATTTTAGTCAAATACACTCAGATATTAGTAAACTTCGTTAAATATACCGATCTTTCATTCCTCTACTAAATGACGCAAAGTAAAATCAAGGAAACGTACTTACTGTACTAATTTATTAATTCATATTCTAAATTCTTGTTAAGTATGCAAAGAAATTAATGGGGCTTTCGGGTAGTTGTTTGTCAACTCTTTTACAACTCATACAAGTGCGAAAACGCATTAAGATTAGCATGTAGTATCAGTAAAATTTCGCATTATGGTCATGTGCACGTATCATAGTATGGCATGGATCACTTTCGTTTGAAACTGGTTTAAGCCACAGGACCCCATCACGTCGTAGTGCCCATTACTTATTGCGGAATAAATGTCAAATAATTTTGATATTAAATGAAGTGGAACACACGTGGTCCAGATTATTCGATAGTAAACCTTTAAGTAATCATTCTTCATCACTAAAATTCATCTGTATAATTTAAAATATAAAGGTGTAGATTCAAAAGGGTTCAATCAAAATGAAATTTTGCGTCGGTTTGATGAATTACGTACGGAGCTGCATGCTACAACCAGACTCACAACGGAGGATAGTGCTTGTAATAGTGAGTATTGCGCTGCTTCTGGACAACATGCTCTACATGGTGATAGTTCCCATCATCCCCGACTACCTTCGAACTATCGACGTCCTTCAACGCCGCGAAGACCTCATCGCCAACTTTTCACAAACCGCCCAACTGCACAACTACACGGGAAAGGAGAAAATAAAGTTCAACTGGCTTGTGCCGGAGGCCGAGGATGCAAAGATAGGCACATTATTTGCTTTCAAGGCCATTGTTCAGCTTTTAATCAACCCTTTATCTGGTCATATCATCGACCGGATTGGTTACGATATTCCCATGGTGATAGGTTTGAGTGTGATCTTCGTCTCCACGTCAGTTTTTGCATTCGGTCACTCCTACGGAGTGATGTTCACAGCTCGAGGACTTCAAGGGGTGGGGTCCGCTTTTGCGGACACCTCCGGTTTGGCCATGATTGCCGACAGATACACGGAAGAGAGTGAACGCACAATGGCTCTTGGTATCTCATTGGCGTTTATATCCTTTGGCTCATTATTTGCCCCTCCATTCGGTGGTGTGCTTTACCAGTATTGTGGGAAAGAATTCCCTTTCATAGCACTTGCTTTTTTAGCTTTATTTGACGGATTTTTGGTAATGTTTATAATGCAGCCGGTGCGATTGGTTCGAATGGAACTAAAAGCCGAGGGGGCCCTTCCTAAACCAGCTCCTATTCATCGTCTCTTACGAGATCCCTTCATTCTTATATGTGCTGGCGCGCTCGTATCCGCCAACGTTTCTCTGGCCTTTCTCGAGCCGACCATTGCAACGTGGATGCAAGACACTATGCAGGCCACCAATTCACAGGCTGGTCTCATCTGGCTCCCTGCTTTTCTGCCACATGTCTTGGGTGTTTATACAACTGTTAAGCTTGCTGAAAAATATCCACAGTACCAGTGGTTAATAGCTGCTATAGGGCTGTTGCTTGAGGGCATAAGTTGCATCTTCATTCCATCCTGTAAGAATTTTGTGAGTCTCATGATACCCATTTCCATCCTTTGTTACGGAGTCGCCCTGGTAGACACTGCTATACTTCCGTGTTTGGGGTACCTGGTGGACACACGTTTTGTCTCCATCTACGGATCTGTTTACGCTATCGCAGATATATCTTACTCTGTCGCCTACGCCATCGGTCCCATAGTGGCGGGAAATCTGCTTCGTGTTATGAATTTCACTGGACTCAATATATGCATTTGTGTGGTTACCTGTGCCTACACACCCTTGCTTTACATTTTACGAAAATGTCGTGTCCCAGATGAAGAAAGAGATAAGAAGATGGGCATGTTGGAGGAGGAAGAGAATGATGACCAGGCGGAAGCTCTGGACGCTATCCCAGATTTGAAATCGAAGGATTCGAAGGGTAAAAGAATTCGCTTCAAACGGCAGGAGACTGCACGTTTCGAGCCTGCCGGATGCCGTCGTGCCACATCTATGTCAAGTGAACTGGCGATGCGTGCAAAGGCACTTTCCACCGAGTGTCCAGGCTATGAGCAACAGGGCGAAAGTATGAATGAGATGGAGGCACGACCGGTCTACGCAGCCGATGGCTCTAGAGGTGTTGTCCCCACGACTCCGAATACGACAAGGCTGGATAGGAACCAGAACTCTTACACCAAAGATGAAGGCTATGAATATTAAAAACGACAAAGACGTTGCATAAGCTGTATGGTTGCTTCCCTCCCTTAGTTCAAAAACGAAATATTGTCCTGTGATTGCATACAAATGCATACTGAAAGATTTTACCTTTTCGCATGCTGACTCTGTTGTACTGACGAATGGTCTACATGTCTGTAAAAGTTAAACATGGTCATCTTAAATGTTCAAGGCACGGGGTCTAAAGGCATCTATACTGTGAGAAAGTGATGAAATGTGTAAAAAACACGAAATGACTATATATAATGCCGTATATTCACGTAATCAACATGTGTTGTTTATCAGGTTAGGTTACAGTATGTAATATGATGACAGGTGTCAGAATTTGTCGACGATTTTGAAAACCCACTGTTGATTTGGGTGTATTTAAAAATAAAGGAAAGACTGGCATAAAATCGCATCATTTGAATTTAACACAATTTAAATCATATAACATTAAAGTGTGAGTTTCTATTTGGACTTATTCAGGATAAAACAGAAAAGGCAAGGTAGGAGATGTCGAGAAATGTGCGGGAGTTCGTCCGACGAATTTCTCTAAAGGACCTAGACCAGTATCCGGAGTGGGATTTATCAGTGAGTTCTTATTTAAAATTTAAGTAACAGTTCGGGTTTTTCTTAGGTCATTTTTTCAAAATTACCTCTTGACGAAAATGGAATTTTTATAGCTGAGGCACCAACTCTTGTGGCCTAGCACCTGTGTAAAGGGGTCACCCAGATCCTATTGGGCTCCCAACCGAATAATCTTCAGATTAGACTTCAATGCAGATGCCTTTGTTACCGGCACATTACCCCAACACAGGGATGCGATCAGTGTGTGTGTGCCTGGCGTCTAGATACCGGAGGCTGCCTGAGTGTGCCTGTATATGGGAACTGATTGGCCTTGACCGTCGAGGGGTTCTAAGAAACCTTTAGGCGCATCGAACCTTCGTAGGAGCCATTGAGGAGGGTCTTAGGGAGAGCAGGACTCTCTAGAATATTTGGGGTTAAATGTCAAGTGGAACTTCTTGAAAGTCTATTAAGAATGTTTTTTTGGTCCTTAGTATAAGATATAACATAACCATGACTTTGAACTATGCATTGAAGTCTGCCTTATCGCAGCAGGAATTTATGCTTAAAATCAACACCAAGACGACCCTATGCATATATTCTGCAGGTACATAGACATTTTGTAACTCTTTCGAATATTTCATTCATTTGCCATTAATTTATTACCAAAAGGGATCCTCATTAATGTGATTGACTGCAGCACACGCTAGCATTTTAATTATAGGTATAATGTTAAAAAGGACTATGATTTTGGGCGCTGTTACCTAGGGTGTGTTTTATTTCATGAAAAATATTTGTGCACCTTGCATACGAAGGTGCTTGGAGAACCCAATTTTCACGATCATCACGGTTGGGTGTACTGGTCTTAATATTCCAGTCATCATAGTAGAAGAAAAATAAATTCACCACTTACGGTGCTTGTCATCTTCTATTTAGGTGAAAACCGTAATGTTATTTAAACGCAGGCCTACAACCATTTCCAAATTATTTTTTTCCGCACACTTGCTTGCAGAAACCACTGCCAAAATTGCCCGTGCCGGAGTTGCGAACCACGCTAACTCGGTACCTCGGTGTGGTCGCTCCAATTGTTGACGAGGAGACCTTCAAAAGAACGCGACGTCTCGTGCATGAATTCATTCGTTCCGGTGGTGAAGGCGACAAGCTTCAAGCTGAGCTTAAAGCCTATGCAAAAACTCAAGTCAATTGGGTGCGTTGAATTCGTTTTACCTGTTGATAGCTGCATAAATCCATGAGGGAGACAAAAACATAAGGAAGGGATGGTAAAAATAAAACAGAAAAACTTGTTTTTGTTATTATTAATCTTCAATTTTCAAAAAATCTGGTCAGGATCCGCAGAAGTCGAATGTTATATTACTCAATATTACTTAATTACCAATTTCTACAAGTTAATAAATTTAAATTAAAGTGTCTTGGGAGTAAAGTATACCCAATATCAGGAATGCTCCCCGTTTAAAAATTGAACCTTATAGAATGACTATTAGTCCAAAATAAATTAGCCATTGTGGACAATTGATAGCAAACTATTATTACTACGGCTGAAACTTGGGCCTGTGTGAAGCTACCATTTAAAGGAAACCATTGCACATCAAAGCCAAGATGTTAATACTTTGCGAACTTCCACTGCATTGATCTGAGTCTTTCCTGAAGACGAAAGAAAATATAATGCTAAAACAGAAAGTGTATTGTCTATGTACGGAAGGGCTAGGGGGTTACTGGCATGACCCGGAGGCCATGTTAAATGCCAGAGGTACAACGGCGGAGCCTTTAAGTGCCTCATTACCAAAATGGCTATTTAGGAAAACAATCAAGGTATTATCCAGCATCCCTCTTCCTATGGGTGTAAACCCGTCGGTTCCGTAAGAAAAACACCCACGAACCAGCCATGTCATTCATCTAATTCCTATGCAACTGAGGTGATACGTGCCCCCATTGTTACTGATCTCCCTTGGTAATTCTACTCCATTAGGTGTTGCATTTGTGGGGGAAAGATAAATATGAAGCCCACCTTGTATCTCCATGGCTTGTTGTAAGAATACTGGCCTAAAAGTGGAACTATTTAATAAAGGAGGGGGTTTGAAACAGTTTCAGCGCCACCCACCCATATCTATATGAGTTCTATCCAGCTAATAGAGAGGGGAAGGAGGTGCCATGTGTTCACTAATTGACATCTTCATACAGGTACCGCAGACAACTTCGTAACGAATTTTTCAAATGGTTTATGTCAAGCATCATGCGAAACACGTGACTGGGGTAGCTGCCGAGGCTAGACATCACTTTCAACCCCTCTGTTGAGGGTTGTCACAGTTTCTTTCATCGGCAATGCATGCCCTTTCTCCGTTGTGGCATTCAGTAATCGAAAACAGGGTAGCTGTCCTTTGTGATCCGGTTCGCTTCCCTGAGTAATTTCTGAAGAAAAAAGAATTCACATCGACTAAGTAGAATAAGTATTGCCGAGGTATAACAGGATTGGGAGACAAGTAGCACGGCCTGAGAGCCATGTTGCTAAGTAGAAGTACACAGACGAAGCCTCAAGTGCCCGTAAAACTAAAAACGAAGAGTTAAACAGATAATCAAAGCCTTACACTTTTACCCAAAGCCAAAAGAATATCAAAAGACGAGCAGAATATGCCACTAAAAGTGATTCTGTACTTTAGTTGAGACCATAAAACCTTTTAATAACTTTTGACGTGTACTTATTTAAAGGCCTTTTCTTGGTGGCTTGAGGACATGTACCTCAAAAATCCCCTTCCGCTGCCACTCAACTCCAACCCGGCGATGGTGTTTCCTCGGCATCAGTTTATCAGCGCACGCCAGCAGTTGCGGTAGGCATACAGACGTGCTAATTCAATCTTAAAGTCCACCGTAATTCCTCTTCGGCCTTTCCTTTACTAAATAATCATCAGAAAAGATTTTTCATTACTGTCGGATAAGTTTGATTAGGGTCTGTATTGCCAGTATTCTGCTAACTGGTACCTTGTCGGCTAAAGGTTAGTCGATCAGACTTATGCTTCCACCAACGACAGAAAACGCGCTTTTTTTTCAGCTGGTAAACGTCTTGTTTAAAAAAAATGACATTTTGCTGATAAATGTGGCCCAAGGCTCTGCTTACTGCTCCATTTGGTTGTGGTGTTACAGAGCAGTTGACTGTACAAATCCTCGTGGTTTTGACAAAGTTTACATCAAACTTCAGTTATGTAAGTGAAGACTTCTTCCAACTTCCTTGGCATGATATTCATTGGGACACCGTAGGAATTCATCTTCCTTACCGTAAACTGGGCCATAGGCGTTGATACTTTGGCGTTCACACTTTGATACAGTCCGTCATATTTACAGGCAGCAGCTCCCATGACGACAGATAGAAGACATGCGGAGTGAAACTGGGCTTTCGTGTTCCTACTTCACATTAAAACTTTCTCAAATTAATTTTTTCAGCAAAGCCTTCTCCGCTTAACTTGAATGGAGTTCATTTCAACTTAATTAGTTCACGGAAACGACGTCACCGAACCATTTGCCATTGAAGCAAATTGCTCCATAAATGTGATTTTGGGAATAAAAACTACCAGCACTTGCCCTTTCCTTTTTTAGAGTTGGGTTATGTGAAATTAAACGAAACTTACACTGACAGAGATCCTTTTACACTTCCTATTTCATTTCCATGTAGGTTTGCTGCGCAACTTATATCAGGAATACTGGACTACAAGACTATACTGGATGCGTAAGTAAAGTTACAGGAACATGACGTTTATTTTACGGCTCAGTAATCCAACGAATTGTTTGCAAACAATTTTCCTCCTGATTTAAATGGAATTAGTCTCGGAATGGTAAATTCAGAACTCAAAAATCCCGATTACTTTGAATAGCTACTGTAGAATCCCAATGTGGCAATCTAATTGGGTATCCGGTACGCCCCTCTATACCAATCTCAAGACTTCACTTTTACCAATCTGTAGGGTAGATTTTGCTGTTCTATTTTAGCTAGAAAGCTAATTTTTCGAGTCATGCAATGGCCCCATAAACTTTGCCGCAGTGAGTCTTTCCCCCTCCTCACCCCCTGATCGAGACGAGCAGGGCTGGGGAGAAACTTGTTCAAACCTGGTCTTGCACGCAATCCTCAAGTCAAGGCAAGAAATGATGCGCCGTTAGCTTGTGCAATCGCCATTCCCTCCTGTGCCTACGCCTTCCTTACGCCATACTGAGGTCTTCCCATGCCAAAAGAGTGGCGGCTAACATTGCCAGCCAGTGGTTATTAAAAGTGGAGTGGAGGGACCAAATCCCCTGAATCGACCACTATGTCCTATGTCACCACATTTTAGGGATATGCTAAACAAAAATTTCCAAATGATTTGGCATGGCAACAAGGCTCACTTTCGAGTTTGCAATACACTTTAATCGAGACATTTAAATGATTGAATTTGGTAGTTTTGTAGTGAATATGTGTTGATCAACACACTATTTTCCAACTGTCAGCATTTGCAAATTCAAATAAAATAATTCAAATTTGTTATGCACAAAACATATGAAAATGTGTCTGCCAATAAAAAAACCTTAGGCTGATAAAGTGGTGAGACTGGTTCTGAATCTCTTATACTACTTAAATAAAGTCGAACTTTGTAGTAGATGGAAGTGAAAGTACTTCAAGATAGGCAATCGAGCCCACACGTTAGTCTGCATAAGGCTTACCAAGTGATAGTTCAAAAATAATACCAGAATCAACATGTGACACCGTGAAAAGGAAATTTTGAGATTATTAATGGACAATACGTCCTTTCCTTATCAACTAGACGCTCATTGCCCATCGACCGTGTCTCGCACAACAGGAAGGGTCAGCCACTGTGCATGGAGCAGTATTATCGTCTCTTCACCTCGTATCGATACCCGGGCGCGGAGAAGGACAAACTGGTGACTCGCGATCTCTCGGAGGTGGCCGAAGACGCGCATGCTGTTGTCGCTTGTCATGATCAGGTTGGTTCTGATAGGGCTAACCACATTGTCTCGATGTGTCACCTTGTTTGTGAATCAAGAGATCCACCGCAAGGTAAAATACTTTCTAGCTTGCCACAAACACAGCTTTTCGAATGCAATTATTTTGGATTATTCAGTCTCGTTTTACTTCAAACTCACCGAATAAGGGCTAGGGAAATTTGTCTAAATGGTAATTAATTGTTTTGGGCATTAGCTCTCACCGTTTGCTACCTTTAATTCTGATGGATCTACAGAATTCAGCCTAATTCTTTACTCGATAATTTTCCAAAACCATTCTCAAAATGTTATACCACCTTACTTTACCATCGTGGTTTTTTTACTGTGCTTCCTTTCACAATCTTACGCAGTGAGGACCTTCCTTTTGAATTGGTACCGTCTTGCAAAATAATGTCACTTAAGCGTTATTTTCGTTCATAATATTCCGTCCATTTCGTAGTTCAATGCACCTTATCTAAGTATCTAGGAGTTCGGGAAGTTATTTAATTTTATGATGTCGTACAGCTGTTTCCGAAGTCTAGTGTTACTCCACTTTTTTGCAGTTCTTCAAGCTGGATTTACTTTCCCAAGACTGTCGACTAGGCGAGGAGGAGATATACAACCAACTGAGACGGGTCGTGCGAGAGTCCTCTGCAAACAAGGAGAAGGTGCCGCGTATCGGAGCCCTCACAGCTCTGCCCAGACCGAGATGGGCGGAAGTGTACAAGCATCTGGACCAGGGCAAGTTTGGTGACACTTCAAGTGGTATTTAACCCTCTGAAGTGGTGCAGAGCAGTGAAGAAGTTATTGTGTATCAAAAGTTTCAGCTACTTCTTTTGTCATAGAGGCGGAGTTAACAGGCATGGTTCATATTTTGCAAGCTAAAAATCAAGAGAAAGCTGTGGTTTTAATGACACCGCGTGTTTCTTCAGATTTTGCCATAATTTAGCTACAGTGGGTATTCACAGGAAAGAAAAGAGTTTGAAATTACTTAACATTAAGGTATTATTTCAACGTTTATGTTACTTCACCGTTGATTAGAAATTGCCAATGATGGATCCATCGAAAATTAAGGATTCCCCAAGTTTTGTTAACCAAATTGCATTCCTTAAAATTTTAGAGATGTCCAGATGAAAAATATTCTTTTAACCACCCTTTACAGCATTCATTAATTTGCCTCGTTTTGATGTAGATCCTGTGAATGCACAAAATCTCGAGGATATTGAGAAGAGTATGTTTATTCTGTGCTTGGATGTTTCACCCGTGCCCGTTATCGAATCCCTGGATGAGGCGGATCTGACTGAAGAAGACGGAGAAGAATACGGTTCCGAGACTAATCCCAAATCAGAACATCGAAACGACGTTTTTCTGGTCGAACAGATGCTCCATGGACAGGGGAGCAAGCTGAATGGTGCAAATCGTTGGTATGATAAAACTATGCAGGTAAGCACAACGGAATACCATCCCGGCTCCACCATAACAACCAAGGGGAACAAAAATGGACATTATTAAGACTGATTGTGGGACAGCTTCCTTTTAGATAGCATTACCTAAACACTTAATCAACTTCATTGCAGCATCGTGTCTTTATTTCCTTCTATATCCTTTGTATCCCAAACACGGGATAAAAGCGTCTCTTAGGCCTTCTCCGAGTAGGACGATTTATTTGCTTCTTTATCAAAGTTGAAAAATAGGGACTTTGGCTTTCTTGAGCTGCCGATTATGAGAGGAGGAGCTTCTGTTTGATATCACCCGGGGGACCCAGACGCGCAAAAGATCTCTAGTGGAAGTAAACATTTGTTGACAGAATTAATAACAGAAATTCCAAAAATGTGGCTGCAGTGAGTGAAATTTTTAAACAAGAAATAAATACACTTTGCTGTACTTTCTGATTTTAAACGAGTATCTTCTTGCAAAAAAAAAACATTGTTTTAAGCGTAGTTACTTTGAGCCGAAAGCAACCCACTTTTAATGACCTTCAGCTAGTGAACAAGGCGACTCTAAGACACCCGTAAGTACAAGGGTAGGGGATTTTTGCACTTCAAAACATTTCGGTGAATCTGTAAAAGTTATTCGCTTGGTCTTTGAGGTATAAGCCTGCCCTCTAATTTACTCGAAATCGCGGGTTCTCACAAATCCTCCTCGTTAATTAGCCCATGCTGACGCATCGGCCGAAACACTTCGGACATAAAGTGGGGAGCATTTCCGCAGGATATGCGCAATCTTTGTTAGCAAACTCGAGGAAATTTGGTAACAAGCTAATTAATTACAATGCTTTGATTGTTTGCTTAACTCTTTGTGTTCATTCCGCGGGCATTTAGGGCTCCGCTGATTGACCTTCAGTTATGCCAGTAGCCCTCCTGCCCTTCCCCAATGTCAACAATGCACATCATGCCCTTGTATCATGACTTCTCTCCACTTTAGGGAAGTCTTGAGATGCTAAATAACATTTAAAAGCAGTCATTGAATGGCTACTGGCGAAAGGCTTTATTTATGACGTTGAATAGGTGAGCAAATGATGAAAGTTTGCTCACAATAATTTTGATTTTACCTGATCAACCGACGTAAGATGACCGAAATCTTCAGAAAAACTGAGAAAGGGCTCGCACATCATTATTGGTTCTTTAGATTTGAAACACAGAAATACTTGGTAGATTTGCCTTTAAAGCAGAACGAAAGGAAAGAGACTCTATTAAATAAGTCATTACTTTATTGCTATGGGATGTTGAAGAACAAAAAGAAAAGGAAAGAGTTATTCTTTCTAGGGATTAATAAAACCCGAACCAAATTATGCCTTGTTTTATCGCGTAGGCCTTAGATCCGCGTCTAATCAGTTCACACCTCTTTTCATGCGTGCATCCCAGCGTCTGAATGCGGGGCAAAGACGTGGAGGGGTGAGAGCAAATTAGGTTATCCACTCACGCACCTCTCCTCCTTCATCCCCTCATCTTCCTCTCGCTCATTCACCCCTAAACAGGTAATCAAATTCCTCCTCAAATATCACTCTCTCTCTCTCTCTCTCTCAATTCATTCCCACCACACGGTTGGTGGCTAATTGCCCCGAGGCATGAGAGCGTGATTTCACACCCACGGGACCAGTCAATCCACTCGAACTGCGGAGTCTAGGTCCTGGCGTGTTTGTGTAAATTCGACGCTCTATGTCAATAAGTCAACTTGCCGGCATGTGGGATTCGGGAGGGGGGGGGGGGGAGGTATGTCAGTCTACTGGTCGGTTGCTCCTGCCTTGGATGACTTTTGGCGAAAAAGGGATGTTGAAGTTACTTGGAATTTGGGGGAATTTTATTTTTATGCGATGGGGAATAAATGTTACACAGTTAAGATATTCTGAAAAAAAAAGCTTTCATTTTCTGCTAGATTTTGCTTAATTAATTTAAATTGTGCTACAGTGTTGATACTCTTGCTCCACAAGTGTTTGGAATCCTTATGACGCTTATCATCTTTCAGTTCATCATCTCTCGCGACGGGAATTGCGGCCTGAATTATGAGCACTCAGTGGCAGAAGGAGTCGCAGTTATTCGGCTTATCGAGTACATACTGAAGTATATGTATGTTGTTTGAGGATGATATTTTACTGTTCTTCTTAAAAAAGTACTCCTCAATTGTTTACTCTCCTAGTGCAAATAGAATCTCAAGAATTCCCTTGAAAATGCAGTCGCCATATCGCACGAGTACAAATTGCATTAGCTATAAAAATAACTCATTTTAAATAAATGATTTTGTTTCGAGAGATGGTGCTGTAGTGCCCCGACTCTCTCCTGAAGAAGGAAGAAGACATAATTCTGACGTACAGATGGGCCGGCGAGGGGGCTGACATGGCCTAGAGGCTAGTTTGTCCAGCAAAGGTACAAAAATTGAGTCTTAAGTGCCCATGGAACCAAAATAAAGCGCTAAAGAAGCAATCAGAGTATTATAAATACCTTTATTTGGAATGAAACACCATGCGATGTCCTCAAAGGCTGCCTGGATTGCCATGTCTAATAACCATTCGACAAGTATGAAATGTCTAGTATTCCATTGATTAAATATCTTAATTTAGCTTCCAAAAAGACATAAATACGTCCTAGACATGTGTTTGCACAATTGAAGTTACTGGATTCTTTTCTCCGCCTACACACACACACACACACACACACACACACACACACACACACACACACACACACACACACACACACACACACACA